ATCCAGTTACTTTTTTATATAAGTCAATAGACAGGATTCTCAGTGGGTTTTGACTGAACTTTAATTTATATTGAAACCAAGGTTTTGATTCATCATGGTAAAGATAACTGACAACTGAAGGATTTGTGCATTTTGGCGATCTGCTTAGAATTTCAGAGTTAAATGTTCTTTTCAAAGGAAAAAAGCATCTTTTTATAACCTAGGTATTGCACTTCCTCATCTCTTTTGAATGTGTAAATTTACTGGTGTCCATGAAGTAATTTATTTTACATGCATATAGATTAAACTTATAAATTCAAATACATAACATATAATTCAAATACATAAGTATTATGACATTGCTTAAAAATGTTTCTTTGCATGCTAGGAATCAGTCAAACGTGAGAAGAATGCACACTGCTGTGAAGCTCAATGGAGTAGTGCTTAATAAATCACAACATGCTCAGCTAGTTCTCCTGAATATGCCTGGACCTCCTAAAAACAGAAAAGGAGATGAAAACTGTATCCTCTACTATATTGATTCCATATTTCTTGATACTGGGAATTTAATCTTCTTGATTGTGCCATTGTCTCCCTGGTGGGGTAACCATTGGTAACCATGGTAAGCAGAAGTTTGCCTTAAAAAACCAGTTTTGATTCCACGAAGAGAGTTATAAGGAATATATGTGTGTGTGTTTATTGATGTAAACATTTCTCAGTTTTGAACTTGTTTTAAAATCTCTTACTTTTATCTTTTTTGTAGGTGGGTAGGGCAAGACTAGAAATTTTCTCCAAATTAGGCCTCACTTCCACTTGAACAACCAGGTGGATTATGTAACAGGACAGTAAAGGGTGACACAGGGAAACTTCTTAATGAAATTGTTGAACTTGACTTTTGCATTATGTGTCAGACTTTCTTGAGAGGTTACTAGCAATTTTGTTTCTCTTCTGAATAAATTCCTTGACCTAGTGATATTTCAGACATGGAGTTTCTGGAAGTTCTGACAGAAGGTCTGGATAGAGTTCTTCTAGTCCGAGGCAGTGGACGTGAAGTGATCACCATTTATTCTTGATCTGTTTGCACATGTTCAAACACAACACCGCCCCGTCATGAGAAAACAAATTTATTTGCCATAATTTGAGCAGCTTAATGAAGTGTCTAATGCATTGAAGATTTTCTGCAAGCTGAAGTTTCTGATGATATGTTGGGTTTTTTCCTATTAAGAAGTTATATTTAAATAATATTTTAAGCAGATAGATTTATGTAGAAACTATTTCTATAGTGAATTAATTAATGGTGGATGGGTTAGGTAGGATATTTATATGTAGCATATTCTGACACTTGTTAAGCTGTGGTGAAACACAAGAAATGGTAATGTGAAGGTATTTTTAAACATATAAAAATCTAAGCAACTTTTGATTATTTTAATCTCTGTTTTGCATCTAAATAAAAGGGAAAGGTTTCAGGAGAAGTTAGCTTCTTTCCTTACCAAAATGCTGCTGTGTTGCTTCTGTTGGAATTAGTCCTGGTTCAGCAAACTTCATTCAGAGATGTATACAACCACTCGATTTTGTATATTATGTGCATAAAGCATTTCCCTGAAGTTCATGATTTGCCACACTTATTAAAAACAACATTTTGGTATTTAAAATACTTAGGTAGCTGAAACCTCCAGGTGATAGTAAATTGGCAGGCCATGGGTTTTTTTCCCATGAGCTACTAACAGTTAGAGTATATTGCACAATTATACCAATGAAACATGAGAGCATCCAACTCGTAGGAAGGCTGTGATGCAGAAACTCCACCTGGTTCCAGATATAATTGTATCAATTGATAAACCACAGCAAATTGGTTAATGAAGTGCAGTCTTTTGTTTTGTAATATGTATATTTTGAAAATATATGTATGTATGTGCTGCTGTTTAAAATAAAATCTGCTTTTCTGAACCGAATGAGCTGGTTTTCATTTGAAATTATGAAACAATTTAGGTGCTTGATAGAAACCTTCTGCTTCTCTTACAATTCTACCACTTTTCAGACCCTCTTTAGTGTTGTAAATGTTGTTTGTTGGGTATTGGGAGATTGTTCCACTCTAAAAAGAATAGGTTTTTTTAAACATATAAACAACTCTTTTAGTTTATTTTTTTCTTACTTCTTTATAATACAATCAACATGCCTGTTGCTCAGACTAGAACAGCAGTGATGCAAGGCCCAAATACCTGACTAAGCTCAAGGTCAGTGTTTGCATCATAGTATTCTCAGGCGAAGCAAAAATAGTTATGAACAGCAGAAGCTGGAAGCAGCCATTTCTGATCCCTGTAGTTTGATGCACAGCAGTAGAGGGAACACAGAGAGATAACCCACCTCACAGAGAGATAATGAACTTCAGATGGCTCACAAACACTGCTGGGACACATCAAAATGCACTTGGAAAGGCATGCTGCACACAGAAGGCACCATAGAGCACTGAGTGTGACTGTAGGTTTACACTTTGCATTAGAAATAGGTTTATGTGTAAGCACTCAGAGGTACCTTGGGGGTGCACCAGAGGCAATCCTGAGGCCCTTAGGTACAGTGAAAGACAGATGGAGACCCTGTGGACTAACCAGAAGGTGCTAAATTTGCACAACATATCAAGAAGTGAATGAAAAAGCATTCTCAGACCAAAAGGGATCAATGTCATCAGCTGTTCATGGCTCTAGGCTTCTCATGGGACACATGAAAAGGCACTCGTTGGGCTGTGGTGCAGGACCATCACCAGTCATTCATAGATAACTGTAGGTGGCTTATAGTAAGAGTAATGATAAAAATTTAGAGAGGCACTCAGAGGCACTTGGGACCTACCAAAGTCTCTCTAAGGGCCCTTAGGTGCAAGGCAAGTCTTGACAGGCTTTTGTGGGCATAGCAGAAGGCACTTGATAAATTCACGGAAATGGTAGAGAACAAACCTTCAAGCTGAAAGGTACAAAACATCAGCTTACACAGAAAGCTTTTGAAGATCCAACAGCAGCTGGACTTCTGAGACTTTTGTTCTTCCTCGTGTGTTACAGGGGCCACCCATGCCATGATGGAGGAGGAGGTATGAGCGTCTTCATGTCAACTAAGTCATTCTTTTAATGTTTTCTCAAGGAGCACAATATCAAGAATTATGGGTTATAAGTGATGAAACCCTGTGATTTAAATGGTGAATAGTTGAGTTTGTGTGCTAGACTGGTCAGAGCAAAATGTGATTCCCTATTTCTGATGATTCTTTGTTATATTTCTCAATGATCTCGTGGAAGAGCTTAAGGGCAGTATTGCACCTGCTGTCTCCTGCAGCACTTAAATACGGTCAGGAAGTTAGGTTAGAATCCACTAACTTATGGCACTAAACATAGACTGCACCTCCAGCCTGGAAGTTCTGAAACATCAGCTTACCCATACAGCTTTTAAAGCTGATCCAACAACAGCTGGGCTCCTGAGGCTTGCATGCTTTCTGGTGTCATACAGATAGCAAATGCATCATGATGGAGGAGTAAGGATGAGCATACTCAATGTCTCTTAAGTATATAATTCTTTTGGGTTTTGGTCATAGATGCACAATATTAAACCTTATGTGTTATAAGCTACGAAACACTGTGAATTCTGTGGTGAACAGGTGAATTCACATGCTAGACTGGGACTGTGCCCCTCTTTGTCATGCTGCTTTTGTGATATTTCTTAAATGAGTTCATGTACTTAAGCTTAAATCATAAAGTAGGTGGTCCTACAAATTTGAGAGATGTGAAGGATTGTGACATAGGGTTTGGGTAGTAGAGCAAGCTCAGAGTTCCTGCAATGCTGGGCCTGTGAAGGGCCTGCCAAGGAGCTGTTGGATCATCAAAAATGAGAGCTAGAAACACCTTTAAGTGTTTTAACTTGCTCTGCTGCACTTTTTGGCCAGTGATGGATGAGAAGTGCTCTTGTGCCTGCCCTGCTGTTGTGTTGCACACAGGGAGAGCTAAGAAGTGATAGCTCCAGACAGTGCAGCAAGCCTGGAGCCCCTTTCAAGCACAGGCATTTTTTTTATATTTGCACAAGCAAGAACCCCTGAAGAAATGGAGACAAGGGAAGTGCAGTGCTCACTCCCTTTCTAGGCTTGCATTGAGTAAGAAAAACAGGACACGGGTGGAGAGTACAAGAGCATCAGGCATGTGCTTGCCTAACCACAATGAGCTTGGTGCTGGTGAAGGCTGGAAGAGCAAGGTGGCATCTGTCCTGGCACTTTTTGTCTGGGAGCAGTTGCCAGACGGTGTCATTTTAGTGCTGGACTCTGAAGAGAGTGAGGGAATGTGCTGGTACATTTAGTTGACAAGACAAGTACATAGCCCCAAGGTTGGTGGTGCGTGTTCAAAGGCTGCAAGGAGAAGGTAACCTGGTTCTAGCCAGGACAGGACTGACTTTTGCAGCAGCCAGGTGGAGCACCCTGGGATTATTCTACACCACCTCATGTCTTGCAGAGTGGGATGAGTGTCTTTCTGGTTCGGCCAGTGCGTGGTGTATGCAGTGGGGCAGCACTGGGTTCAACATGATGAGCAATCACGTCAGTCATTCACCTGTCTCATATACTCTGTTAGTACTACAGTTGTTACTGTTCGTTTTCTTATTGCTGTTTCTAGTAAACTGTTCTCATCTCAATCCATGAGCTCTACTCTTTTGTGCCTCCACTTCCCCTTTCTGCCCTGCCACAGGGGGAGAGGGGGTTGGGGGAGTGAGTAAGCAGTGCATGATCCAGGGGGTTCAGTGGGAACACTAAATTGAGAAACACCATTCCTAAACCAGCTTTCTGTCCTGATACCTTTTGTGTGAGAACACTGGGCGCTTTCGGTTTTGGAGTTGCACTTGGGGTGTGTTAAAAGTGCACAATGGTACCTCTAGCTGGCAAGGCAAGGGCATAGCTCTATCTGGTGGTGCTGTTGAAGTGACAGGGGGAAGGTACAAGCCAGCAACAGCTTTCTGTCCTGGCATCCTTTGTGTGGCAGCCGTCACTGGATCTTTTCAGTTTTGCAGCTGGGTGTTGTGGAGACTGAGAGTGATGGTGCCTTTCCTTGGCAAGGGAAGTGCATAGCAGTGGTGTTGGTTGTGCTGTGAAAAGCCTGCCAGAGGAAAGTCAGGGCCAGCAACATGTCCTGGCACATTTTGTGTGGGAGGAGTCACTGGGCATTTTCAGTTTTGGAGCTGGACTCAGGCAAGAGTGAAAGAATGTGATGGTACATGTTACAAGACAAGCATATAGCCCTAGTGTTGGTGGTGCTGTTGAAAGGCTGCCAAGTGAAGGTGAACATCCTTCAAAAATCTCTTTTGCCTGCCTTTGTTACAGAGGGTGCTTAAAAATTTGCTGGTGTCTACCAACATTTGTGAGTGTCAGGTTTGGGGGTTTACCTCTTGTATTACCACTGTTTATCTTGAACACAATACTTCTCTGATTGCTGCTTAATTCCATGCTGTTGATGGATCAATAAAACACTTGGATTCCAATTTGTTTTATGACTTGTGGGCTGCACAGCTTTTCCTGGCAACACTCAGGAAAAACGACTCAGTTATTTAGATCGGTTTGAAAAAAATCCCTCAGCTAAATATTGCTGAAGGAAAGGGTAGTGTATTGAAAATAGAGGTTGACAACAGATCACCCCAGCAGGTTTGTTTGCATATTTGGAATGCAGGACTGTTGCTCTCTCTCCCATAAGACTTATTTCTGGAGTGATCTATCAGGGTTAAAGGTGAAGCCACGTGATTTGTTACTGGAGATATTAGTGTAGTCTGCAGAAGACAGCACTGGCTGGGTTCCTCACTGAAATGAGGAAATCTATGCGTCTGTCTGAACGAACTGTCTCTTTAGGCAAAACACTGTTACTCACATTGAATACAAGAGTACAAAATGCCATTGCCTCTGCCCACTCCTGTTACTAAGTGAGCATAATCACCTTTTAGAAACAACTGGGGAAAAAATAATATGCATACAGATGACCACACACTTATCTATACTGATACATGTGCCTATGCTTATAAGCTTACATCTATTCCTAGCTCTTAATCTGTCTCTATACCCACCTCC